GGGAGACGGCCCCGAGAGCCACCAGCGCTGGCGCGGCCCTGCGGGCGAGGCAGGGAGCGGGGCCGCTCGGAGGTGAGCCTATTTTTATTTTTTTTTTTTTTTTTTAACTCCCAGTCTTCTAAAAGTTTCCTTACCCCCATCGTGGTCGCTTCCAGCAGCACTGGAGACGCTGCAGGGGCCGGGGAGGTGCCGGTGCCCTCGCCGGGGAGGGAGAGGTTTGGCATTGGGAGCGTGGAGCAGCCGGCCAGGCGTTTGCACCGATGCTCCCTGCGCAGGGCTGGACCCTGCTGCTATCCCATGGGATGCTCCAGGGCCACCCGCCTGAGCCGGAGCCTCGCCTGAGCCGGAGCTGGAGAAGGGGGTTTTGGCCTCGGGAGCGAGGGGGGGCTCTGCCGCCGCAGGCGCCAAACGGGTTAATGTCGGCGTGCGACGGCTGCGAGAGGCTCCAGAAGCCGGGAAGCAGAGAGGGACGAGGGCTGGGTCCCAGCCGGGCGGCCGCTTCCCTCCCTGGCGGCACGGGGAGGACTGGAGCTGCCACAGCAGAAAGCTGAGACCCCACTGGCCATGGCTGGGGGGTCCCCACGCTCGGGGGTCGCAGGCCGGCCTCGTGCCGAAAGGTGCGGGGAGCTCGGCGCCACCACCTGTAACTGTATTTGGCCAAATTCCTCCGTCCTCAGGGCGTGCTGGGGGGGCTTGGCGTGGGCAGGCGGCCCTGCACCTCCGGTACTTTTTGGGGTGCTGGCAGCAGCAGTCCCGTCCCACGGGCAGTGTCAGACCCAGCATTTGGACGCGGCGTGGGTGGGTGCCCGGACCGAGCTGGGCTGTGGGTTCGGGGCCTCAGTGGTTTGAGGGGCTCCCCGAGCTGCTGCCGCCCGCTGCGCCCCTCGAAGGGGCCTTGCTCTGCTGCGGGGCCCCTCGCTTCGGCCTCGTGGCCCTTCCTGCTGCGCACCCAGGGGCTTTGCAGAGGTCTCTGGCTGCCCGGCCGCCCTGGGCTTCGTGCCCAGCTCTCTGCTGGGGCTGCTGGAGCTTTCGAGGGAGAGCTGATGTCCCCGAGGGCTCCGAAAGCTCAGGGAGGCAAAAGGGCTTGTCCGCCCGCGGAAGTGCCCGGGATAAAAACCCAGGAGCGTGCAGGCACGGAGGAGATAACAGGCGGTGAGTAAGGCTTTATGGCTCACCGGGGCGGGGGCAGCCGGGTCCGCACCTCACCAGGCATCGGTGCCGTTGCACCGCGCATCGGCTGGTGACGGGGCACCTGGGGGAACA